GTGTGTGTGTGTGTGCCTTTGTGTATGTGTGTGGCCATAACGCCAACGCATGCCACCGTCGTCGCCGTCGTCGTCGCCGCTTTGCCAGACAATGGTAATTATTAATAATGCAAATAATTATATCGATTTCATTCATGGGCGTTGCCTGTGATTTGTACAAACTCTGTTGTCTTGTTTTGTTGCTATTGTTGTTTTGTTGATTCGCTTTAATTCGGTTGCCTTTGATCGCAAACTGTGGGAAAAAGTTGTCGGTTGCCACTTGAATATTTTGGTCAATTTGTTGCATTTTGATTTTGATTAATTTTTGTGAATGCACACGAACATTAGCTTTTTTCGTTTTTGTTAATGTTCTTGAGTCTTGTTGAAATCGGTTGAATAATGATAGATATTCTATATGTGTGGGCAGGTACGAGCATTAAGCTGAAACGCATGGAACTTAGTGGCTGATCAATTATATACTCGTATACTCATATACCATATTATTATTTATGATATCTGTGGTAGGGGATTGGCTTTTAGTTTGCTATTATTGTATTAACATCAGACTTTGGTATGGTATCAGATGGTATGATAAAAATTATATTACAACTTCATTATGAGAGACATTTGAATAAATAAATAAAAAATAAATGAATAAATAAATCTAATATTTGTGTAATATCAGTAAAAGTCTAAGACATTATTCCTTTCATGTTCAGTCAAAATATAACATATTGTCACCTGCCACAAATGAAATAGTTTTTTTTTTTGTCGACGAAGACTGCGTTCTGGAACTTATGTAAAAATGACATAAATAATTAAAATCTCGTACGTAACTTAAGGATAGGCGGGCCAAAAACGAACATGATACATAAATCATTGCTTTATCATTAGCCTTTTCTGCTCTCATCAGCCTTATCCTTAACAACTTTTCCTCTTACCCAACATGGGAAAATCAAAAATGTAAGCCAAGCCCCAATTTACACAATATCGAATTTTCCAACACGCCGGATTGCTCAACTTTAAATTAAACTTATCAAGAGCTAGGCACAAATCTCGCGCCTGGCAAGCAGGCATTTGTTTCTTTCTTGTGTTTACAAGCGTTTTGTACAAAAATTAAAAGCTGATTAGATCGCAATAAAATGGCGCCGTTTTCAACACACAACGCGGCTCGGCCAACAACTATAATTAAATATTAATTTACACTCGGCGCGTAAAGCAAACAACACGTAGCGCACCAGCAACAACAACAACAACAACAACGGCAGCAGCAGTAATTGCTACAACAACAAAGACGGCATCATGATCGACAGCTGGCGTTGGCGCACGCGTGCATATCAAACAATTTATTTGATATTGAAAAATATTAAATATGAATAAAAATCATAAAGCGAATCAACAACAACAAAAATATATGGTTTTTTTGTTATTAAAAACGCAAGAAAACGTGCCGTGAATTTTGATTTTTTAATGTGTAATGGAAATTAATTAAAATAAATGCTGCATTTATAAGAAATGCACATTGCCGGTTGTGTTTAAATTTGCGATAAAAACATTAATTAAGTTGAGTTCGGGCCGCTGACGGCCTCTACAAACTAGACCAGGGCGTGGTCTCTGACGGCTGTGAAAATAACAAAAAGAAAACAACAAAATCCAAAAACTTAAACTAAAATGCCAATTAAGCCGCCAATGCACGTACGAAATTCGAGTAACGAGACACGAGAACGCGCCACAATGTTGGCCATAAATTAGCGCGCTCTAAACGATTTCCTAAAAGCAACCAGTGGTGTGGCACTTGTCACCGGTCTAGCCAACCATTTAGCCATTTAAGCAGCAGTCACCGCCTGCCAGCCCAACAACTCTAATTTAACCTTTGACCAAAAGCCGCGCTACCCGCCCAAAATGAAATACAAAATTGCCAAAATGCGTGCATTTGCCGTCACGGGCGAGGGGCGGAGTGGAGCGGTGGGGGGCGGAGGGGGCGGTTCTGAATCAAAGTCAACGACACAACAATGCACAGTTAACGGCATAAAGGCAACGAATGTCAAAGCATTGACCGTGTGCTAGAGCAGGGCAGGGAGCAGAGCAGCACAAATGGCCAACAATTAGAAGTTGTCAACTGCCCTAAGCTCTTGCCGCTCCACTCATGCGCATGCATTCAGAAAAAAAAGTGAATCATTCAGCGAAAATTTGTTTATTTTAAAGTCAAAAAAATAAATAGCAATAATAAAACCTTTTCTTTCAAACATAAAAGTGTAAGAAATCTGACCTTAATATCGACTTCTATGCTGTCTAAAAAGTTAGACTTAATATTATATTTTTAATTGCTTATTTTAAAGCTTAATAAAAGATATTTCTCAAACGTCACAAACACTTCTTCGAATCTTTTAAGCTTATAGAGTCAAAACACCAACAACAACAACCCAAACATCAACTACAATGTCATTACAAGCGTGCTTTATGTTCTTTAAAATAATTTATTTTAAATAATTTCATATTGAGTAGATTTTGAAAGTGTTCTTTTAATCCCTTTCAATTTTATTTAACCTTTTTCATCATCTTCTTCTGCAATTGAATTGAACTCTGCCTTTTTTTCAGTGTACTCACGTGCTACAGCTGTTCCAGGTTGTTGGCTTGTTGTCAGCTTGGAAAATGCAATATGACTTTCAAGTCGTTTTATTTTTGGTTGATTTTTTAATAAACCAAAGCTACCGCTTAATGCCGCATGGCGTTTAATTTTCAAACGGCAACAATAACAATAACAACATCCATCCACCTAAAGAGCTTCAAAAGACTCAAGCAACAAACTGGAAGTTGTAGAGCGTAAGAAACTGCGTGGACGGCATTTATAATAACGGCTCAGCCAGTTGGCCATAAAGTAAGGTGCGGCATTAGCAACAGTGCGGAAAACTGAGAAATCGGTGCAGCGACAACAACAACAACAACAACTAAAACAATAACAACAACAACAAGTAGGTAAGCAGCAGGCAACTGAAAAACGCCAAAACGCGTTTAATTGAACGCGATCTCAACTGAAGTTGCACTAGCGCCATCTAGCTGCGTGCAACTGAACTAGAAGGTAGCAACTTGTTGTTGTTGTTGGTGCTGTTGCTGCTGCCGCTTGCCAGCCGTGGCAGACCGAAATCGATGATTCATCGTGGTGTTTGTTGTTTTGAGTGGAAATTTGCCGCCACAAGCCGAAACTGCAGCCGAAATGCTAGACGTTTGTCGTACGACTATGCTGTTGTTGTTATTGTTGTTGCTGCTGTTGCTGTTGGTGTTGTTGTTGGCGCTTGCCGCCTGCTGTTGCTGGTGACGCAGTCCGTGCAGCTGCGCCAATTCTCGTTTTTTGCATTTTTCGCTTTACGTTCAAAACAATTATTATTCTGGCAATTAATTTTGATTTAAGCAGCGATTTGATTTGCTCCGCCACCCACCAACCCCCTCCCCCGTTTCATCTCCCCCCAACACGACCCAGTGCCATTGACTTGGCTAACATGTCGGCGGCAGCTCGGCTTTGGATTTAACTCTGGCTTGCTGCTGTGTACAGCTTTTTATTTGATTGCTCGAAAGAGCGTTGATAAATATAAATACACCTACGATTGCCAATTCTCCTATTTGTTGTGGTTATTGTTATTGTTGTTCTTGGTATTGCTGTTGTTGTTGTTGTTGCTGTTTGTTGTTTGTTGTCAGCGACAAACGAGCATCCGAATGCAATAATAGATTTCATGCCTCAGCACATCTCACAAATTTCGTGTGTCTAGTGGGTTTTTCCTTCGATTTTCAATGAGTTGTAGCTGCGAAATGAATTTTTGAAAATAGGAATTCGTTACCTGATTGGACATTGAAATGTCAATTGAAAGCTAAAGCTATTTTTGCATTATATTTCAAATATTCACTGCGCTAAAATATTACTATTGGGGAACCATCAAGAACAGACATAACATTTTGAAGGTTGTTGTGCTATGTTTGAGGTTTATTTTGATTAAGTGTTGGCACAGTGCTTGTAAAATAAAATAAAACAGTCTTTAATCAAATAACTGCTTAATAGTTTGTTGAACATTTTTGTTCGTTTCAGTAAAGTTATGATAAACGTCTTCTCACAGTTGTAATTTGAAAATAAAACTTAAGGAAGATGTTAAAATACTCCAATAGTGGCAGCTGAATTCTGAATTTCAAATTAAACTCAAGGAATAGTTCTGAAAAAATTCGTTTGAACAGAAAACAATTTGCTGCTGCAAAATTCTTGAAAAGCGGAAAGAACAATCATGGTTTTCTGTTAAAAATTGTATTTTTTTTTTGTGCAACGTAAGCAGGATTAGGTATCCATGTTTCCCAACAAAAATAAAAAGATATATTATAGCTTATCCATCCGTTTGATCGATCTGAAAAAGATATTTGATATTTGAATTCCACTCCACTTGAGTTGTTGGATCGGCTTTATTTTATTTTACTTAAAACTTTCTTTATTAAAAAGGCAATATCTTTGAGTGTTTTCTTTTATTTGTTTATAAGCTAAATAAATTTAAAAAATAATAATATATTGTAAGTGTTGTATATTTACATCATTTAACAGCTAGATTAGGTATAATAAATTATAATGCACTTAAACTAAATTTGGAATATATTTGTTAAATAAATAATAGTTATAGTGTAAAATAATAAATGCATACCCTGGCACCATTTCGATTAACTTATGTTTTACAAAAACATTTCAACAATAAATTTATAATTTGAAACAAATTTAAATAACAGTAGACACTAACTACGCAAAGCTCCTTGGCTCGTTGACTATAAAATCGTTGGTTCCTGTTTCCCTAAATACCTACACAAATAAATAAGTAGCATGTGCTAAGAAATCTACGCCCTAATCTAAGTTCCCTAAGAGGCAATAACATTGCCGTGACTAATATTTGGCACTGATCGTTCGCTGCTTTAGTTTCGACTTTGGCTAAAGTGACTGAAGAAATGACTGAGACTAAGTTGGATAGATAAATAAATAGACTGAGAAAGGTGTGGAGTTAGTAGAGCACTGAGGCTTGAGCCCCCATTTGTGGAGGCATGCCGTAGTCCTCCTCGTCCTCGCCGCCGCTGCTGCCCACGCTGCCCGCGTAGTAGACCTGATGAGGTGCGCCCTCGTAGCTGCCGCTGGGGGAGTAACTGTCCCGGCCGCCCAGACCCTGCAGATGCTGTTGCAACTGCTGCTGATTGAAGCCGGCCACTGCTGACTGGTGGTCCACGGCCCCGGGCGAGGGCTGGCAGCCACCTTGCAAATGCTTGGCCAGCAGGGACATGCGCGAGAAGGACTTGGTGCAGGAGGGACACGAGTACTTCTTCACGTCCGAGTGCGTCTGCATGTGGGCGCGCAAATTGGAGCGGTCGGCGAAGGCGCGATTGCAGTGCTGACAACTGAAGGGTTTCTCGCCCGTGTGCGTGCGGATGTGGCCCTGCAGTAGCCACGGACGCGAGAAGGCCTTTCCGCAGATGGGGCACTTGCAGGGCAGCGTGTGGGTGCGGATGTGCATCTTGAGGGCACCCAACGAGACGTAGGTCTTGTCGCAGTTCTTGCAGCTGAACACCTTCTTCACCTGGTTGCCCTCGGCGGACGGGCAGTGGAACTGCTGGTGCTTGGTCAGACCCGAGTAGGTGGAGTAGGACTTGCCACAGTCCTTGCAATGATAGCGCGGCACCCCCACCGGCTTCTGCATGGACTGCGCCGAGGCTGCATTGGCCGCCTGAATCAGGGCCGAGGCCTGATCGGTGCAGAACTCGGTCTGATCCACAATCGGACCACCCGATCCACTTGGATTGCTGCGTATGATCTTGTACTCGGTGCTCTCGTAGGCATGTGTTTGCTGATGCTTGACCAGGCCGGCATAGGTGGCATAACACTTGTTGCATTGCTGACACTGGTAGTAGAGATCGTTGCTGCTCTTGATCTTCATGTTCAAGTGGGCGCCCGCGTCGTTCTCCACGTCCACGTCCACACAATGTTCGGGCTCCATGTCTCCATGAAGCAATCGCTGCTGCTGTTGTTGTTGTTGCTGCTGTGGTACGGGCATAATGTTCTTGTTGTTGTTGCTGCTGCTGATGTGTTGCTCTGGCGCCATGTGTTGCATACTTAGAAGCGCGCGTGCCACATTGTGCAAATTGATATTCTCACTTAGCACGCGTCGCTGCGGTAGTTCGGGCCGTAGACTCAAATCTTCCGGCTGCACAGGCTCTTTGTAGCTGCCATAAGCGATGGATTGTGTTTGTGGGCTTGGAATTTTCATGCAATCCTCATAGTCGGCTATGCTCTTCAGCAGATTGTTGTTGTAGTTACGCAGGCCAAACATCTGAGCCTGCTGCTGCTCTTCAGTGTAGTCCAGCTCTGTTTGCTCCACCTTGACGATGGACTCCGCAGGTGGTGGGGTGACGTTCGAGTAGGGAGTATCTATTTCTGGCTCCATGACCTCATCCTCTGGTGGCAGGTCAAAATCACCATAACCTAGGCGGACTAGACTCTTGGCGATCTCTTCGCGGGTGAAGACATCGGGAAAGGCACGCGCAATCTCACGCGTCTCCTCCCAAATGCGTCGCGCCAGCTGCTCTTTGGTTTGCGTCATGGCTGCATCGAAGCGTTTACGCAACTCTGTAGTCACCGGCTGGGGCTCCGTTTTATTGGACCACTGAACGGTCTGATCGAGCGGCACTGCAGCGGCAGCCACACTGAGATCAACGGGTCCTTCGTCTAAAGCGAAAATGAAGAAAATTGCTCTGTTAAGATCTATGATACAGGCGAGTGTGCAGTTGTGTAGTATTTTGCGATCTGCTCGATATTTGTGAACCTACCATGACTCAACTGATCCTCGTGCGTGTGCTCCACCGGAATCGGTCGCTTTTTTAGCGGGCATTTGCTGTACTGAAGCTTATCCATGCTGTTCACTCTGTCTTACTTCTATATAGTGACACAATCACAAATGCTTAGCGTTTACGATCACTTCGAACTGCCTTGTGGTCTGATCTCTTCTATACACTGGACACTAAATCACTGCGACACATTGGCTGCCGATTTACTTTCGCTTCGCACGCGTCTCGTTCGCTTGCAGTTCCGCGCACAAATGATGCAACTAGCTGGAATCATTTTAATTTTATATAGACTCTGGAGGGCCATGATCAACCCCCTAGCCAGGAACAACCCCCTTGAGTGGCAGAAAGGATCTACTACCTACTTCCGATTGCTTATAGGGATTCTGCGCTGCGCTGCGCTGCCCTTCTTCCCTATGCTTCCTTTTTGGCTGCAAATCAACCACCACTAGCATGCGACAACAGATATAGCTAGAACAAGAGCCGCCGATGGGCCCATTCAATGATCGCCTACTTCCCTACCCCTACCCCTGCCCATGTCCGTGCCGCTGCTCAACAGCTGTGCGTTCAATGAACGCTCCAGCTGCCGTTGCCGCTGACGCAGCCACTGCATCGTGCCATACCGATCGACCGGCCACGCCGACAATCTGAGAAAAAAGGGAGCACGTGCCATACAACTGCACTCGCATTCGTCGTTGCTCAGCCTCGGCTCTCCGCTCTCCGTCTTGCACACACCGACGCGACGATCGCCACCAGCTGCAGAGATTTATTTTCAACGCTATACGAACTTCCCCTCCACAATCCAAGTGTTGGTGTATTAGTGAGCAGCAGCAGAGGCAGCAGCAGCAGCTGTGAAGCTTATGTACAACTTGAAAGGCAAGTTTATTTATAAACCGTCACGCATTGTTTATGCTCGTATGGGTGGTGCTTCTGTCTCTTTTCGTGGCTTTTATATACTCGAACATTGAGCGTGTGTGCTCTTTGTCTGTGTGTGTGTGTGTCTGTGTGTGTGCGTGCCTCGAATCGCAGGTGAGCTTACACAGTTGGCGCTCTTTTGATCGTGCAAAGAGCAGAGCAGCTTTGAGCTGGAGTTGGGGCGCTTGTACGCTCTTTGGGAGCTCTTTGGCTCTTCGATGGCGCCAATCTCTCTTCAAAGTGGCTTGCCGCTCTTGTTTCATTTTTCATTTGTATCACTAATTGGGGAACGTGTGATCATTGTGAGGATCGATTCTTGTAAAATATAAAAATTCTTTTCTTAAAATCTTTATTCTTTATTTAAGATCTGTCCTACGTTAGACAATTATTAATTTTATGATAACTTTGACTTTATGTATATAAAATTTGAACTCAAATATTTAGTATACACCTAATTCTGTTTTTACACTTTAGATTGGTTCCAGAAAAAGTCGTGTAAAAAAACCGTGTAAAAAAGAATTAATTATATGTTATTTTAAATCGTGCTAAATGGAATAAAGTCGTGCAAAATCGCATATAAAAATTTTTCATTTTCAAACCGTGTTAAATCGAAACCGTGTAAAAACAGAATTAGGTATAAATATTAAGTAATGCAAGTCTACTAATTTCGGCTGCTCTAGATTTTTGTAAAAGCTGTAATCTAAGCGTTATTTTGCTCTCTGTTCTTCGTTTTAAGTCATAAATGAGTACTCGATAGTTTCATATTTAGAACCCTTTTTTGCAATCGCTGCTGATTTTCGCTTTAAACTTTCGCAAAATCCAATCTCCATATTGTTATCATGCATACAGTTTTCATTGAAAATTATTTTCCCATATGTTGCAATTCTGAAAAGGTGTATGCAACGCCCCATGCTCATCGGCAGATGTGCCCGGTTGGTACACGTGACATTTGCGGCAATCAAATTGAAAGAGCAACCTTAAACACACAATACACACTTAGGCGTCCAGTCAACAAAATAATAATCACAGAAACAACACGGAGATCTAAAGCGAATCAACCTTTTTAGCCACTGGCATTGTTCCCTCGCCCGGCCTAGGTGCGCAAACCCCTAACGGCCGTGAAATTCAATTTGAAATTGAAAATTTTGGCAGCTGCGCCTGCGCAGCCCGCCAACGGCGCATGCTTCTAAAAACCACCACCCCAAAGGGCTGTAGGACGCGCCGCCGCACTTACCTGGCCCGCCACCCGAGTGCCTTGGAATGTGGAAAGGTACGTGCAAAACTACCTGGCATTCACTGCACTCTCTCCCGGAATGATCATCAGTGGTTGTCCCCTCTGCAGTTGCCACCCCATCATTGGCAATCGGATTCAGACTAGAGACTAGAGAGTCAACAGCAGCCGCCTCTCGATCGTGGTGGTGGTGGTTGTGGAATGCTGTGCATTGTGCATTGGTACGTTACTTTCTAGGGGTCAACGTCAACCCTTAGGGCCAACGTCTTGGCAGAAATCTCAGCAGCGAGGGTTGTCCCGTGCCACTTACAGCGCAGCTGCCCATAACACGTACCATCGGGACAAATGTGTCTTGAGACCAACAATTTGGCGCCAAACTCTACAGATTTGCCTGCAACGAACCGGTGTGTTTTCTTTGGCCCAGGCAACGTGATCTTTGGCTCGTCACCTAGTGTACAAAAGTAAATGATTGCTATTCTTAATTAGAAACTGAGCATTGGAAATCTATAGCCATTAGCCCATTCTTTCTTCTTTTATTTAGGTTCAATTCAAGCTTATTCAGTAAACATAAAAACGAAGCGTCTCTCCCAAATAAGAATTAAATCTACGGAAAAAATAAGCAGACTTTGTGGTCCAGTCCAGCAGGTTGTATCATGAATTATCGCGATTTTTGGTAGCATTGCAGAGACATACAGAAATATAGTTCTTATTAAAAATCGTATATCATTAATCTTAAATCCCTCAAGAATTCTGAACTGAAAGTTCTTTCCAATTTTTCAATTGTTGATTCCAATGTTTACAACTCTCTAATAAGAATTTTTGTTCAACTTTTTGAATGATTAAGTTATACTATATATTAAATTCGATATGCATATTTTTAATGATCACAAGATCATAATATCGTTCAATAGATTAAGGCCAGGGGACGAATCGTCCTTGTTATTGTTTGCCTTTATTTCGTTTGTAAAGCGGAGATACAAATTATTGCCTTAAAAATGTTCTCAACACAATTGCTTTTTATAAAGACATTTTCTAGTTATTAACTTGATTAATCGAAACGTAATCCATTCATTTCTTTATACCAGGGACTGAAATATTTATAAGTGTTATTGTACATTTTATAATGCATGGATTATTTTTTAATTTTATTCATTCGTTCACAATATGGTGATTAATTTAGAGTTTTACTTTTCAATTCAATTAATAATCGTTATTTGTGAGCAACAAAATAAAAGTCATTAAATAATAATTATTCAATAAGATTTATTTTTTTAATCAAAAATAAACCTCAAGTTGTAATTGTTCCTCCAATAGTACAGTTTTGGGCTAAAAAAAAAACGTCCTTCATACATACATATTTTTTGTTCAAAAATAGTGATAATTAGTAAAGTAAAACTCAAAATTAATTATTAAATTTTGAGGGAATAAATAAAAATTAACATTTTTAAATCATTGTGAAAATGCATAGATGATCCCAAAAAAATGATTTTGACAAATTACAATAGTGAATAATTTTTTCGTTAAAAAAAAAAAAAAACAAAATAATCATTAGTTTCTTTCCCTGCTTTATACTTATAATGCTCATAAAGAATGTCCCGTCAAGTTGGGGTTTGTTTAACATTTATAATATTCTAACCATAAGCTCCTTTCTAGGTAAAGGAGTGGAAGAGGTCTGAATAATATTGTGAGGGGGAGGTCTGGCAATTACAATAACATATTGTTTATTCAACACTGGTCTTAAGAACAGATTTAGTCGTTAAGCTGAAACGAATTTCAGCGCCAATGCCTTATAAGTGTGCTTATTAAGTTGTTGTAATCATTGTGATTTATTGCGATCCTTAATTAATTATAATTAAACGCTGCTTCGGCTGGGCATATTTAGAAAAATCGTTCAAATTTGCTTTGCAGCTGACTCGGCTATTAAAAACGAAGTACCACTAAGAATGATCTGCAAAGCTATTAGCCTACTGTAACAGAAAACACAACTTCATTCGCTTGATTTATAGCGATCGATCTGGTATCTAAAGGGTTCCATTACCAATGCAACATGGGTAGGTAGACGTAGCTGCTTTGTAAGCGTGTGGCTTCAATTACAGTTACTGCTCTGCAGGTCTCTCTCTCTCTCTCTCTCTATCTCTCTTGGCCACTCTGTATGTGTGTACTACTTAGGTGTACGGTGATATGCCAACTAACTGCACATCACCTGGCTTTTAACCGCAAACGCTGCACAGCCGAGTGCCTCACTTCAAAGTGTCAAACAGCCGCCAAAGCCTCATAATGAAGTGCAAAATGTAATTAATTTGCCGGCACAGCTGCGAATAACTGCGAGTTGACAACAAAGGAAAGCTGAAAAGCTGAAAAGCAGAAAATCAGAAAACTCAGTACCGTCTCTAGTAAGTGTAAGAGAAGTATGCAGAAATGCAAGACGGTCGGTCGGTCGGTCGGTCGGTCTTTCGAGCCGCACGCCGCCGCTCATTGTCACGAGTTACAGATTTTTCAAGCCACTGGGCGGCGAGCAGAGCGGTGCGCAGACGGCAGAAGAATGCAGAAGACAACAGCGGGCTGTGGTCGTCAACGTCGGTGGCTGGCGGCATTGCAGCCTGCAATCAAAACAAGATCTTAGAACTATTGGCGCCTGATACAAAAGGCAGCTGCGCAGGCGCAGGCGCAGACAAAGCACAGTGGGCTAATCCACAATAAACTGTCACTAAATCGAAGAACAATAAGTATATTTTCAGAAACACAGAAATTTATTTATGTATTTCTGTAATACATTTTTATACCCTGTACCCAAAGGGTACAAGGGTATATTAGTTTTGTGCGAGTGCACATGGAACACACAGAAGGAGGCTTGGTAGACCCCACAAAGTATATATATTCTTGATCAGCATGACAAGCGGAGTCGATATAGCCATGTCCGTCTG